GCCTGAAATTTCCTCAGCGTACTTGGGCAATTTCTGCTGAAGTCCCGCGTTAGTAAACATCTTTAGGTAAAGTGTACAAGGATTTTCACTCATCAGCATTGCGATGAATTCTTTTGTGAACGTCGATATACAGAACGGCTGATAGTTTGGAAGCAGGCCGTGGATTAAATCTGCATAATATTTACGCATTAAATCCAATCTCCACAACATGGGCAGTTCGAAAGAAGTTTCATATTTGATTAACCATAGTTTCAAACCAGGAAGAGCGCCCTCAAAAAGAGCAGTATACTTTCTTTCTGGTTCTGTAACAAGAGCAAAGAACTTGGCTGCCGTATAAACTTCCACAACACTGTTTAGAAGAACGTTAAGATCATGACAAAAGTCATTCTATGAAAGATGAAGCATACTGGCACCATTACAAATGCTCTGCAAAAGAGCGGCATCACTAACATTAGGATATCAATCTGCGCATGTGTCTAACAAAGTTTTCCTTACGTACTCCCTCTCCAAAATACCGAGAATGAAATCTCTTAATCTTTTTTCTTCGTCTTGCTGGTTCAACCATTCTATTTTACTTTAAATAGCTTTTTAATTCCTGTTTCTGTTAAAGCTGAAACACCAGCACCTGCAGCCTTTCTGCCTAAGGTTTTAAGAAGACCTTTCCCTGCAACTTTTGCTCCTAATCTTGCTATGAGTCCGCCAATACCTGCACCGCTCTGTCGTCTTGATCGCTTCCCTCTCCCTCCTTTCAATTCATGCAATAACGCTAAAGTTTCTGGAGAAATCTTTTTAGAACGCTTCCTTCCACGTCTCCTCGCCATCATAGAAGATTAATTAGTGTATAAATCCGTGTAACTTCTATATATAGTGTAATCACAGAGCAATTAACGGAAGTAGTTCAATGAGACCTTGAGAAATAGTTGATAAAACGTCCCCAGCATTGCCTCCTTTTTGGCGACGTCTCTTTCTTCTTCCTCCCTTCATTCCTTCTTTGAAACCGCGCAATAACGCTAATGTTTCTGGACGAATCTTTTTAGATCCTTTCCTTCCACGTCTCCTCGGCATCACAAAGATCAATTAGCGTGTAATCCATTTATCTTCTATATATAGTGTCAATCACAGCCCAAGTAATTTTGCAAATTGTACTATCGGAAGTGCTCCAATTACATCATCCATAACATTGCCTCCTTTTTGATGGCGTCTCTTTCTTCTTCCTCTCTTCATTTCATAACTTCCTTTTTTAATTTTTTGACCTCCGTTTATTCTGGAACGAGTTAACCCCTGATGAATCCTTCTTCCGCTTCTTAGTCTTACCATGGTGATACAAGTCTTAAGACGTGAAGCTTTTCAATCAACTCTCTCCGACCAGCACAGCGAAAAGATGCGTACTTCTTTTCTCCGTGTACTGCTTTTATCTTACTTATCCACATCACCTCCAAGGCATCTCCGTATAAAAATTCTACATATAGAATTTTTTGCGGTTCCCCCGTATATCCATGAATGTAAAAACCACATCCGCGACTATTGCTCAGACAATGTCCTATCTTTCCAAACTTGTAATCATTATACCGATTAATTTTTCTCATCTGCGCAGCTAACTGTAAACACTGAACTCTCGCATGAGTCGGTGAAAGCTCATTCATACCATGAAAAATACTATGCCTAAAAATATTCATGAATTGTCGTCGACTTCCATAAGTTCGTCTTCCAAAGCACCATTGTTTTGTACGTTGCATTCTTCCAAATCCATAGACACCTCAGAAACAAGAGTCTCTTTGTCGCGAGGCCGATATATATTTATGCCTTTCCATTTGTTTGTTTTCATAACAAACATTTGAGTAGTCCCTCGTAATGCATACACTCTATCCATGTCGTTTGCTTTACTTCCTTAAATGCGTCTTCTTCGGCGTCGTCTTCCCCGTTTCTTATATAGTTTATTTAATCCTGCTCCCGATTGTATTGCCTTATGAGCTTTCATCAATGCTTGCTTTTTTCCATAGGCATATGCAACCTTTGCTTGATTGTGTACAAAAGCTCCTAATAGAGGATGTTTCTGTTTCAAGGGAGCTAACTGTTTAGAAAGCTGAGCATCGACAATATTATCTACCTTTGAAGCTGCTTTATTAACAACCTTTCGCTTTAAACCGTTAACTATTCCTCCGAACACCATGATGAATAAASGAAATGAAAACAAAGACATCTATATATATATAATTCAAGCTCTACATGAATTCTGTCTGTCCGTCTCTCGTCACGTGGTTGGTCCAACTTTTTGCTGCCCTAACATACTACTTGTATGTACTGTAAGTCAGTACTGTATGTTTCCCACTCATACGATAACCATTTCCATTTCTTTAAAACTAATTATGGAAATAATTTTATTTTTCTTCACAAAGGAAAATATAATAGTTGATAGTGGAAGAAAACGCAGAACAGATTTCACAAGAAGACGTGATTTTATTGGACTTTATTTGGTGATTCTCATTTATTCATAACGTCTCTTTTTTCTGAGACAGACGATCAAAACTATAGCTTAACCTTATTGTGACTTGCACAGCTAGCCAGAATGCAAACTATATATCCGTGAAATACTACTAACTACTTAGTACTACCCTCAGCCCTTTGACTACATGTCTTGCTGGCATTAAACGCTGCTTGAAGACACATTATCACGTCGAGCAAGCATCCTAAAGCTGCACTATGCACGGTTTTGACTAGTGTCCTTAGCGATCTGATATTTCTACGTTTTGGCCGGTGACTATTTAGCAATTATTCTCCTCAGACTGAGTGAATATCGGGGAATATTTACCGAAAAGCGAGTCTTCGAGCGGCGAGGTAAATATTCTCAATATTCACTCTGCCTAAGGCGAATAATTGTTGTAGTATTTTTAACACAAGTGAATTTAATAAAGAACGGAGAGAGAGGTTTTTTTGTTCAAATTCTCTTTGTCTCTGCAAGCTGCACAAATCGACAAACGAGGGTGCGCGCGATTTATTCACCTGTAGGCCGCCTGAATAAAACAGCATAAGACGTAAATTGTGACCAATGAGCGCACCGGATTTATCATATTTACTTGTGTAAAAATACTAAATTTAATTATTCATTGATTTATTTTTAACTTGATTGTGAAAAAATGTAAACATATAACTTAAAATCAAAAATGGAACTGACGAATTTATTTAGAGAGGGTGGCACGTCACTGTTGTAACTGGTAAACTTGTGGCCCTGTATGTTTAACGTCTCTAAGTGCGACGGGACAGTTGTTTTACTTGGTTATCCGATCCACGGCAAAGGTTTAATCATTTGCAGATATTTTTAGTGCCAACGGGCAGCACCTTATTGATCTTCTACTATTCTCAAATATTTTAAGACCCTGAGCGTTGGTCTCATATAGTACGTAAAACAAACTAACTGAGCTAACTCAGTCATAATTATTACTCGCTATTAAAAATGAAATCTACCATATATTCTTAATATCCTCTCGGACTATTCCAGTGCTGCCTTCCTGTGTATATAAAATCTAAGAATTAAACCTTATTTTTAAAAATTATCTTTACAAAGCTTTTAAATGACGATCAATCACGCATGGAAAAAGACTTCCGGGTCCAAATAGAAGGAGAAAGATTTTAACGAAAGATAAACGTTACCAAGAGAAAATGGACTAAGAGAAGGAATCTCTGTTATTCCCAGGTGATCTGAGGAAAGCGAATTAGCCAATCAGAGCGCATTTCGTGGTCAGCGAGAAAAAATCCATCCCAAGATAACTTCGGTATTTCAAAGCTTCTGTGCTCATAAAAATGTTTAAGAGATATTTCAATTGGAAAACTCCTTCGTTTATCACCATCCAAACGTCAATGGCGGACTTCGAATCATCAATCACGAGACACGTTTTTACGCGCAAAGCTCTATGTGTTGGATTTTTCTTCGCCTACCGCGCGCGACGCCTGGCACATTTTAGAGATCACCTGGTCATGATTGTCACCAACATTGGCACCGTTTGATGCTATCTTTCTTTTTCTGCACGCGCATACTGAGCGCGCTCTATTCTGTTTTTGTTTTTTTTTCGAAAAACACAAGAAAACATGAGAAAACACCATAGAGCGCGAGCAGTACGGGCGCGCAGAAAAGCTAGCAAACGATCAAATGTATAATGAATGATTCTAAAAATAACAGAAATAATCCTAAAAATAGCATCAAAGTGTGCACATGATAGGGAGCTGGGATTCCTTCTTTTAGTTCATTTTCTCTTGACGTTACTCAGAAGAGAATCCAGGGTTATCCCATCATGCATTGCGAGCGAGATATTACTTTTTCCATTTAAACAGCTAAACTTTATATTGTTTGAAGTTTTAAATAGAGTGCATTTCATATCTTTTAGCGTTATCTATTTTCTAAATTCCTCAAGACATTTAGAGATATTTGTTAAAATACTGGAGTACTCATTTTAGAGTATTTCAGGTTCAGCATAGATCCTACAACTGACTACTCGTCAGATTTTTAAAGGCTCTTGGTATAGCCCTGGATGCTCCTATTAATAGTTACACGCGAAGGCACCTTCCGCGGTGCTATTGTCAAGCGCAAGGTCTAATGGCAAAAAAATGACAAAAGTTGTGTCTATAAATTATTTTAAAGTGCATGATTCAGCAATTGTAATGATTGAATTTAAAATTAATAATTTGAAGACGTGGTTGTTGAGTTTTGTGGCAACGCATTTTTGCATTGTGTGTTATCGAAGTAAAATTGAAATAAGAGCTGATAATTTGATAAAAATTGATGAATGATAGAAATATTGATAAAAACGTATACACTCAATTGGAGAATCGTTGTCGGGCTCAGAAACATAGAACATAAAAGCTGAGACCGAAATGGCACATGGGAAATGACATATTGATATCATAATGTATTCATTTGCGCCATCCATGCAGTCGGTTTAGAAAGCCGTTTGGCTTCGCATTTTTATAGGTTGCAGAGTAGACGAAACCGCTTATTTACTTGCGTTATCTCGTATCTATCAAACGTATTCTTGTTTTCCTGTTTTAGTACCTTCAGCACAMCGTTAACAACCTCAATGGTTTTAAAAACAGTGGATGATGCCACGGGTCGCCGGTCACAGCATGCATCTAAWTAACGTACTTCCCATGTGCCATTTCGGTCTYAGCTTCTATGTTCTATGTTTCTGAACCCGACAACGATTCGTCAATTGAGTGATACGCAAACATTAAAAAAAGTCAGAGAAAACAAGTATGAAATTCATATACATGATTCCTGACTGCAGTATCAAGATAAGAGCTGAAAGTTTGTTTCTTTCACTCAATGCCATGGCAACTAAGTGTGTGAAAATGTAATTGGATCACCTTTCTTAAAAGTTGCTGGTCCTGACCTGGTGAATTACTTGCAATATCCTGTAATTCTTCTTCGTTCAACGGACAAGGATGGGCCTCTATGTTCCTCTCTTTCAACTTGTCTTCCATGAAGTCAATTATTTTCTTAACATTATTTTCATCTGGATCAATCTTGTCCGCTTGCAATTTCGTCCACCTTTCTTGAGCTTCTTTTTGATCGTCTCTAGTTTCATACAGCTGTTCAATGTCTTTATCAATATATCTGAGACGTGGCTGCTTGTAATCTTTTCCTTTCTCAAAGTAAACTGGCACGACTTCCCAATATATTGCTTCCATCACATTCGCACACAACTGACCTATGCACAGCTTATTTCGAGATTTTTCGAGCTCATCAGTTTTAGCCATGTATCTGCTCAAGTCGTTTTCCTGCCTTAGAGATTTTTCATTGAAATATCTTACTTCATTTTTCAACTGTTCGGTTTCAACCATGTATTTTTTTAAATTTTTTTTCATTTCCCTAAATTCATTTTTAAATTCTTCACTATCGTCATTCGAGTTTCGGCCACTCATCTTCAGCTCTTGCTTTGGTTTCCCTTTTACCTATTTCTGCAATAAATAGAAAATTAAAATTAAAACTCTTAGCTTTAAAGAGCATGTTTGATCTTAGATTTAAATAATGCTGTGCCTCTTGTTCCGCCAATCAAAAACACGCGCGCCTTTTCTATTCCTTGAATATTTCTGTAAAATTGATGTTTAAAATACAAGCATGTAATGTGCATGATAGACACTGTAGATTATTGCAACAAATTAGCTAGGACTGCGTTAAAGCTTACCAGAACGAGAGAAATTGCTGGCGTATCTCAGCAGCTTCATGCATATGTATCAAATCACCTTTAGGCCTTACATGGCGTTTGTTGAGTGATTTAACTTTAAAACACATACTTAAAGACTGGGAACTTTTTTTTTTTTTTGACACTTGTTCAGCAGGCTATGTCATTTGTCTAAATCAGTGCAAGCTGAAAGCTGAAGCTGTGATCAGCATCTCGGAAAAAAGGGGACGCCACTTTGTTCTTTTTTTGGCAATGATTACATTCATTACGTCAATCTGAATAATATCCGCAGTGCAACACTACATGTTCCTCAAAGGTCAATGTACCTTCGTTACACAGAGAATTTAAATTCTCTGTGTAGTTTAAAAAACATTTCCTTTTCGGCTTGTCAAAGTAACTCAAAATATTGTTACCGCTAAAACAAAGGGAAAAATGTTCTCAGTGATTAAACCTCCAGCTGATATAATTAGAACTTTGGAAAACAAATCCTTTCATGAAGAAAAAGTAAGAAAAATCTTTATAGAACTCACTTATTTCCCGTTTCAGATGTGTCATTCGAGGGAAAGAGAAATTGGAGTTACGACACTCAATTGAGCATAATTTCTTTGTTTAACGGTTGTACATTAGAAGACACAAGAATTTGGATACAATTAAAACAAAGAATCTTATTCTCAAGAGACATTACGCCCAAAGTGAACTGAAAAGGTCTAAATATATTCCAACGATTTCAATTTCAATTTGATAACAGTGACAAATGACAGTATGTCATCTGTCTGTTTGCTAAAATGTATATTAAGCAATTATCTAAACGAGAGCTCAAGAAAGCAATTCAGAAAAGAGACAGCAGACTTTTGAAATTTCAAACCATTATTGATGAGAAAGAACGAGGCGTCGAAATATAATCTGAAGAACTTAGAAATGCTTAATTGACCGCAGAGCAACTGAAAAGCGAGCTAAAAGCGATTTGGATTACGCTTAAAACAGAATCGGAAAACGTGAACGAAAGATCGAAAAACTTATCAATCAGTTAAACACTTTTCAGCAATTTCAAAGACCTTTTCCCATTCGATCAAAAACACTTGGACATCCTTTAATTAGACATTTTCTTTTTACCCGACATGTTTTAGATAAGATGTGCACCAGGAGTTGCACTAATTTAAGCAGAGGCATTTAATCTTGTACTTAGTCGTAAACAAAGCTAAGGTTGTAGTTCGGGTTGACCAGAAGGACTTTCCTTAGTCGGTGTGGCTGTCACTTGGGATTCCTTACTCGGCCACTGTCCTTAGTTAGGTCTGTACCTCCCAGTACAACACCAACTACAACCTTAGACTTGTTCACAACTAAGTACAAGATTGAATGCATAGAAATAGTTAAATTGCTCGTCCTTATCATAAGCCGGTAATCTAATCTGAAAATCTATTAACGTCACGTATCTAGACAAGTTTAACCTTGGTGGCTTTAATGTTTAGGTTAATTTGAAAGATGTTTGTAGAACAGAAAACTACAAGTAGATCTCCAAGTCAAAACAGTCTCGGTTACTAAACTAAACATGTAGGCTTGCAGAATCATACACAAAAAGCATTATTCATGTGAACACATCATTGCCAAAATTCTGTTGCATAACAAAAGATTCCATCGTATGACTGTCTTAAACCTATCAGCAACGTGAAAGTACATCCATCCTCCGGAACCCAGAGGAACGTTTCGAGAAGCCAGTTGTTTTTCATCGACCATACCCATAATACAGACGAGCCCGCGTTACTCGTAAAGGTAAGTCTTATCCTGTTTGGTCACATGCCCGCCCGGGCATGTTAGTCTTGTGATGCTCGTATGTCAGTGTCTTATTCTGACCTTGAAATCACTTTGAAATCATTTTGAAATCACTGGCAATTTCTGCAATCTAACTGGCTTTCGGCAGTGCGATTTAATCACGATTCGCACCATTCAGTTGAGTCTTAAATCGCACTGTTTCAAGAACCAATAAGATAGCAGAAAACAAAGCAGTTGACAAATTAATGTGCTTGGAAGTCTCTTTCCCATATAAATCAGATCAGAGGAAAACGAAGCGCAAAGATTCSAAAAGGAAGAAAAAAWTTTTTTTTAATGAAAGACAGTTTTTTGACTAAATTTCAGTTTTAACTTCAGTACTATTGCAGGTGATTTCAAAATGGATACAGTATAATTAAGTGGTAATTGAACTTAATTCGTGTTGTGCAATTTTGATCTGAAATCAAACCTGTGATTAATGATGCAATTTGGTCTAAAAATCAAACGAGTGATTAGGACTTTCACGGCCGCCTAGCAAACTACTACATCTTTAGTCATGTAGTGCTTAAAAGTACTTTTAACTATTTAGTTGTAAAATAGCTAGAATTCATCATACATTAACCGAACAAAGACGAGGTATTTGCTTTTGTTTCCAATGTTCAGCTCCAGTAACATATCCACTATTTTGTACAAAATCACTAGCTGCAAAATAGCTATAATAGACAATGATCTTTCGTTTTGTTTCACTGATGTACGGCTTTAATTCCAAGAGTCTTTAAAGCGTTGACAGCAGTACCCTGTAGTGCGGAGTGTTTCGCTTGAAAAGTTCATCAAAATTAACTATTCCATCTTTACCATATGAGATAGGTTAGTAAACTAATGGTTAAGTTAGTCCAGAAATTTTGTAAAGCTATGGAAGTGGCGCTGACGATATAAAGTTCCCCAAATAAATCAAATGTATCTTACCAGACTTGGTCAGTTCTTAACTTCTTCAAACAAGCGTATGGATTAGTGAATATAGACTCCTGGAAAGTCTCTTCCAACGTGTTGGGGCAGATTATTTTTATTAAAATAAAATGTGATCAAGTTTCATTTTAGTAACGTCACGGGGACAAATAAGCCTTAATTCTTACCAATGACATATAATATGCCTGAGCATATCCCGACAAAACTCGAAAATAATTATGTCTACTTTTTTGAGTTTTTAGATACCATTATCAAAATAAAAAAAAATATATTTTTTTTAATATACTTTTTTTGCAGGATCGTGGAGCTCACTGGAGCGTACGATCGCAACAAACGATCGAAAAACGACCGTTTCCATATGATCTGATAAAGGTCAAAATTCCAAACTAGAGCTGGTCTTTCGATGTTTGATGTATACAGACTGAGCCAGTCGAGATTTGAGTATTCCCTAGGTACAGCATCCCTGCCAGAACCTGATGGAATATTTTTCATTCGTTTCAAGAAACGCCCATATGCTCCTCGGACGTTCAGGATATTTTTTTTTTTTTTTTTTTTTT